CCCCCATCTGTCCTGTGCCCCCGATTGCGAGCAGCCTCTCCCCCATCTGTCCTGTTTCCCTGCAATGCTCCTCCCTCACCACAGAGCTCTCACTTCACAGGTTTCCGTACACATCCCTCACCTGCCCTCACAGTGCAGGAGTCATGTCCGACGTTTTCACAGTGACCTTGCTAGTGCCCAGATGCCTCCCACACATGCAGCAGGTGCCCACACCCTCTACATGACAGCTCTCTGCCACTGAAGTGGAAAACCATAGGCCGCAGCCACTCTCACACTGAGAGGACTGGAAGGACAAGACTTCACCACCACCCTTACAGCTGGCAGGAAGTGAGAAATGGAGGAAGCAGATCCTAACGTTCCCCAGAAAACACAGCCAGGTAGGAATAAAGGAGACCCTCAGGGAGGACTTCACCCAGGGCTTCAGTGCCTGTGAACGTAAACACTGCCTCCGTGACGCCTCAAGACCTTGCACGAAGCGCTGTTCTTCCCCTCAGAGGGACCACATCGGATGTCCCCTCCCCTCCGTCCTGCACAGAAGGGGCCTGAGCTCAAGCAGGGTGAGCCCCACAGGCATCCAATGTGTGATGTCATCACAGGGTCCCTGTCCTCCCCCTGGGCGTTACCTATTGCTGATGTTAATCCCCTTCTCCCGCATGGCGTAGAGCAGCACGGCTATGCAGTACAACGTCTCGGTGACATCAGGCATGGTCACCGTGGAGCTCGGTCTCCTGAGGCAGAAGAGCAGCTGCTGGATGTCGTTCACGCTGCTGGAGAGGAGGACCACGGCCGTCACCAGGGCCCAGACATTGACGCCCTGCAAGCAGGTGCACAGGAGGGAGGAAGACCCAGGCAGGCTGGGGTTAACACAAACCCCAAGAGAAAGCAGCGGGTGGTGAGCGTGGGGTCCAGCTGCCACCTACGGAGTGAACTGAGCTGGACTTCCCAAATGACATGGGGAACGGCAGGGCCTCTCCTTTTGCCCTGGACTCTTTTCTTCTTACTCTTTCTAGACCTGGAAGCTTGGTTTTCTCTAACTGAACAAGATTATAAATGCTGTCAATGATGGAATGGCGGTCTTATACAAAATCCTGTCACTCAAAGTGTTCAGGGGTGGCCTTCTTTCACGAATATTTCAGAAAAGACTCCTCAACACAATGGGAAATTGGATTTGTGTGTGTGTGAGACAGACTCTCATTCTGTCACCCTTGGTCGAGTGCTGTGGCGTGAGAGCTCACAGCAACCTCTTTAAACTCTTGGGCTTGAGTGATCCTCTTGCCTCAGCCTCCCAAGTAGCTGGCACTACAGGTGCTCACCAAGACACTGGTTAGTTTCTGTATTTTCAGCAGAGATCGGGTCTCACTCTTGCTCAGGCTAGCTGGATTAATTTATTAAAAATTCCTTGTAAACCTAGTGATACATAATTATATGACCTTTTATTTCTTCTATTTCTCCAGTGATAAGATCAATGTTTTCAAGTGTTCAGAGATTAAAGATTTTGAACATGAACATAAAACAGTCCCCAGCAGGGTGAGTCATCGGTACACTCTCCTCCCACAGCCTCCGCACCTACCCCCGCGGCCGCGTAGAGGTCGGGCAGCTGGTGCCGCACACAGGCCTCCGCCTCGGGCAGCAGGGCATGGTCCCTCAGACTCCACAGCACCCGCTCGGGATCGACACTGGGGGAGCACTTGGTGGTGGCCGTGTATCTGTAAAACATTCACGGAGAGTCCGTGAGAAGGGTGAGCTCGAGCACCACCTGTCTCCTTACGCAGAGGAGCAGCAGCTCACCGTATGAGGTTCAGCACACACAAGTCCGACTCCTTCTCTATGCCGTAGGTCAACAGGATACCGTCCACTTTGCTGACAGCTTGCTCTTCGTTCATCAGGTATCGATGATACAGCTTTTTCCAAGGAATGAACTATATGGGTTAAGAAACCCAAAAGAACATGCAGGCAATGGCTTTAGAAAGCCGACTGAGCCACACACACGTGGGTGACATTCTAACAACTGAAAAGCTTGCCGGTCAGGTAGAAATACTACACAGATTTTGGTTGGAAACCAGGGAACTGGGTCTTGGTCCTGGTTCTAACACTAACTGTTAAAGAATTTACAGAAAGCTGGAGCTTCGGTGTATCTTTCTGAAACACCAGGACACGTGGCTCAGAATTTCAATGACAATAAAATAGTATGAGAGCTGTGGCTACACTAACATCAGACAAAACAGCCTCTTAAGTCAAACACTGTTCCAAGAGATAAAGAAGGATGATAAATAATCTCAATTCACCAACAAGATGTAACAATCATCAAACATCTGCACCAAGTATCAGAGCTCCTAAATACAGGAAGCAAATCTCAGAACTGAAGGGAGAAGCAGCACAACTGCAGTAGGGGACTTGAGCACCCCAATATCAATAGTGGAGAGAACAAGCAGACGGAGACACGAGCAAACGCAAGACTTGAAGAGGAGAGACTCACTGGACCCCGCGGACACACACAGAGTGCCCCACCCACAACAGCAGAAGGGACATTCTTTCCAGTGTCCAAACTGTCTCCAGGAGAGATCATGTTAGGCCACAAAGCAAGGCTTATAAAATTAAAAAGACCAGAGTTATACAAAGCGTCTTTCCCAATCACTAAGGAATGAGACTAGAAATTAATAGCAAATGGAAAACTGGAAAATCCACAGAGACATGGAAACTTAACACACTCTTATGATAGAATAGCCAATGGGTCAAAGAAAAAAAAATTACACAGAAAATTAGAAAAGACTCTGAGACAAATGAAAATGCAAACACCACAGGCCCAAACTCCGGGGGTGCAGGGCGCAGTGCTCAGAGGGAGTGTGGAGCTGTCCCGCTCACAGTGAAGAGAAGCTCTGAAACCAGCACCCCAACTGCTACCTCGGGAAACGAGGAAAAGAAGAACAAATTTAGTCAGAGTTAGCAGAAGAAAGGAAACAGTCAAGGTTAGAGCAGAAATAAATCAAACCTAGAATAAAAGACAGGGGAAAAAAATTAATAAAGCCAAGAGTTGTTTTAAAAAATAAAATCTGGCTTGGTGCCCATAGCTCAGCAGTTAGGGCACTGACCACATACACAGGGGCTGGTGGGTTCGAACCCAGCCTAGGCCTGCCAAACAGCGACAACTACAACAACAACAAAAAAAGAGCTGGGCGTTGGGGCAGGCTCCTGTAGTCCCAGTTACTTGGGAGGCTGAGGCAAGAGGATCACTCTAAGCCCAAGAGTTTGAGGTTGCTTTGAGCTGTGACACCACAGCACTCTACCAAGGGCAACATAGTGAGACTCTGTCTCAAAAATAAAATAAAATAAAATTTTAAAAAATCAATAAACTGGCTCGACACCTGTGGCTCAAGTGGCTAATGCACCAGCCACATACACCTAAGGTGGTGGGTTCGAATCCAGCCTGAACCCGCCAAACAACAATGACCGCTGCAACCAAAAAATAGCCAGGCGTTGTGGCGGGCACCTGTGGTCCCAGCTGCTTGGGAGGCTGAGGCAGGAGACTAACTGGAGCCCAGAAGTTGGAGGTTGCTGTGAGCTGTGATGCCACTCTACCCAGGGTGACAGCCTAAGGCTCTTTCTTCAAAAAAAAAAAAAAAATCAATAAACCCTTACAAGACTAAGAAAAAGAGAGAGTAGACTCAAATAACTAAAGTCAGAAATAAAAGAAGGGATGCTACAACTAATGCCATAGAAATAAAAGGACTATAAGAGAATATTATGGGCTCCACACCTGTAGCTCAGTGGCTGGAGCACCGGCCACGTACACCAGAGCTGGCGGGTTCAAATCCAGGCAGGGCCTGCCAAGCAACAATGACAACTACAACCAAAAAATAGCTGGGCATTGTGGCAGGAGCTTGTAGTCCCAGCTACTTGGGAGGCTGAGGCAAGATAATCGCTTAAGCCCAAGTGTTTGCGGTTGCTGTGAGCTGTGACGCCACAGCACTCTACCCAGGGAGACCTAGTGAGACTGTCTAAAAAAAGAGAGAGAATATTATGAACAGACTGGATAACATGGACAAAACGGATAAATTCCTAGAAACACAACTACTAATACTGAATAATGAAGAAAGAAAATCTGAACAGACCAATGATGAGTAAGTAAGGAGAATGGATCAGTAACCAGAAACCTCCCAACAAAGACAAGCAGGAGACCAGATGGCTTCGCTGGGGAATCCAGCTGAACATCAACTATGGGGAAATTAGCAGCAACACCCTTCGCACTCTCCCACAGCAGTGAGGAGGGAACACTTCCACACTCACCCAAACCAGACAAAGATGTTACCAGTAGAGAACACAGCGCTACGACAGATTCCTGAAGATACAGATGCCTCGTCCTCAGTAATGACAGAAACAGCACTGTCCTAGTGTCAGAGCCGTTAAGCACAGGCTGGGACACAGTCTCAAAGACCTGCTCAAAGCAGAATGGAGAAAATCCTCACTTACTCCCTTCTGTGACCATTCAATTCACACTGGACAGAGCTCCCAGGAGAGAGCACAGCTCAGAGGCAGAAATACGGGGTCACAAATCAGGTTCACATGAAAAGGCAGAAAGACATTTCTCAGACTCGAGGAGGCAGGACCCAACCACAGAACAGGGTTCAGCTTTTGTGCTGAGAAGAGAACTGTATAACATAAAGTCTTGAGATGTCCATCTTGCACTCTGCCCCTAAGTTTTCAAGCTTCAACACAGCTGAAGGGAGATTCTCTGACTTATGCCCAGGGGCTCGTCTAAGGGATACTTAGGCTATGCAAAGCGTTCCCCGAGTGGGCAGGTTCACCTGAGAATCTGGACCTGGGACAGAAAGGAGCACAGTGGACAATGAGGGCAGGGCAGGGAGCCAGAGTAGTGATGAAAGGCAACGCTCACTTATTAATCACCCACTGTGTGTGAAAATCATAAGCACCAGGGAGAATGCAAAAGCAGACGGACAGCCAGCCTGAAGAAGCAGGACAAGCAGCTGAAATCCCTGGGCTCTGCCAAGGGGCTGGCTGTTTAAAGCAGGAGAACTGCAGTGAAGTGCATGGTAAGCCCTGTGCTGGGGGGATGAGCTGCTGCAGAAGAGACCAGACTACGGCTGACAGGGTAAGAGGGGAAGGAGGAAAGGTCACACGGGGTAAGCCTGGAAGAATAGGGCAGGTGTCCCCGAGATGAGGGGCCCTCTGGGTGTGAGTGGGGACTAGCGCAATCCATGGGTGAGGCGGGACACAGGGAGGAAGTGCTGACACAGTGAGCAGGGACACAGGGAGGAAGTGCTGACACAAGTGAGCAGGCCCATGTGACGGGTGGCTTGACATGGCAGCCATGGTCTCTAAGCAGTGTGGACACCACTCTTAGGGCAAGGGGAAGCTGCCATCCCAAGGAGACCCTGGTCAGGGCTGATCGGCTGAGGTGCTGGGGCGCCCTTGGCTCTGGCACTTCACTCACCAGCGGGTCGCGGACGATCTCCCTCCAGAGGCGGCACACCAAGCTCAGGTTCCAGTAGAGGTCCTCCACGGGCAGGAAGGCGAAGACATGCCTCAGGACTTCGCTGGGCAGGCTGCAAATGTGGCTTGGAGCCTCCAGGCAGGGCGAGGTCCCCAGAAGCCCATAGTATGAGTCAGGAATGGGGTCAGGACCAATGTCCCCTATGTCAAGGTCAGTTTCTCCAGACTCCATGGAGAGCCGTGAGCAGTCCTCTGCTCCCCACCGGGCTTCCCTTGGCCTCGGACAAGGCACGGACAGATGATGCCGCGGGGTTTTCTTAGAAACTCCATCCCACCGGCTAGTCCCTGAGGCCTGATTACTCTCTTCCTCAAGGGAGAGAGACCGCTTGGTGGGCAGGGGAGGCCGCGATGTGCCTGACCTGGCTTCTCCATCATGCTCCTGAGGCAGGGCACAACTGCTCTCTGCAGCAAAGATCATGTTGCCCTCAGAGTCCTGACAGCCGTCCTGGCCAACAGAACTGCTTTTGGCCATGTCATTGGTGCATAGCTGCTGGCCAGCTAGGAAGAGCTCAGGGTTTTGTCTCTGCCATCCTTGAGCTGACAAGAGAACACAAACAGAAGACACAGAAGTGGACAATGGGCTCGGCGCCTGGAGCTCAAGCAGCTAAGGCATATACCAGAGCTGGCAGGTTCGAATCCGGCCCAGGACCTGCCAAACAACAATGACAACTACAACCAAAAAATAGCCACGCATTGTAATGGGTGCCTGTAGTCCCAGCTACTTGGGAGGCTGAGATAAGAGAATCGCTTAAGCCCAGGAGTTTGAGGTTGCTGTGAGCTGTGATGCCACGGCACTCTACCAGGGCAACAACTTGAGGCTCTGTCTCAAAAAAAAAAAAAAAGAAGTGGACAATTACATGCTGCTGCCCACCCCAGTCAAACTATTTTTTTTTTGAGATAGAGTCTCACTATGTCACCCACAGTAGAGTGCCATGGTGTCACAGCTCACTCAAACTCTTGGACTCAAGCAATCCTCTTACCTCAGCCTCCCAAGCAGCTGGAACTATAGGCACCCATCACAAGGCTCGGCTGTTCTTCTGTTTTTAGCAAAGAAAGAAATCTGACTCTTGCTCTTTAGCAAAGACAGATCTACACACTTGCTGAACAAGTATGTAGCAGAGACTAGGCACCACTCTAATGAGCCACTATGCTTGGCCACGGCAAAGTAATTTTTAATTATTCATGTTAATGGAGAAAAGAGACACAAATATATTTACGGGCCAGTTGATTATATAAATAGCCAACCCCAAAATATTTACACTTGGCTCTGTCGTGTAATCAGACATACAGCTGCAGAGACTGAGGCCCGTCGCTGGCCCACAGCGCACCCTGAAATGCTCACAAGTACCGAGTAATGCGCTGCCCATGCAACACCTGAACGGTCAAAAAGGACACAACCACTCCTGCCTGCTCTCACTATGCACAGCCCCCTGCCCCTCCAACAACAGGACGTCTAAGTGTGCCTATGGAGAAAGGACCACGGCTTGAGTTTCTAGGATTCGGAAAACCCGCTCCTCCTCTAACAAAGTTAAACCCCATTTCCTCCTGTAAAGCTGATGTTTTAAGGTATTTTTAATAAAAGGGAAGATTCAGAATTCTAAGTAATACTAATATCTGCTATACATTTATTCAACCAGCATTTACTATGATAGAGCAACAAATATAAAGAGAGAAACAGCGTGTCCCTGACCTCACAGCCCTCTCAGGTGCACAGGGAACCCACAATGGGGCCTTCACACATCACCACGGCATTTTCAAACTGCTAAAAATTATTTTTAAATGCCAGTGAGATATTTAAACATCTTATCAATATATAACAACATACATGTTTCTTTTCTAAATGACTATAGCCAAAATTCTCACTCTGGAAAATAAGAGAATGGAGGAACACCAGGTTCAGTCTTTAATAGACTTAATGAAACTGAAACTAGTATTTTTTCTATATTAGAGAAAATAAAACAATTATAACCACTTCTGGGGAAATTTAATAGAAACCTAGAGTTTCGAAGTCAGTATGGCCAGGGCTAATTCTGGCATTTCCTAATTCTCAAACCCAGCCCCCCCCCCCCAGCTGTTCAGAGGCAGGCTCACAAGTCCTTGTCAGGAAGAACTTAAGCACCGAGGCAGCTCTGGCTTACACACACACAAACTAAATTCCAGACAGTACATAACTACGTTTGGCACTGCCTCCTACTATCGGCTGTGGCAGTTCTCTAAAGTGACAAACACATATAATATCTAAAGACTAGTTACTATGTGAGTTGGACTCTGAAATTACACACAGGCACCTCAGAGGGCAATAAGGCAAGCCAGATTATAACATCATGTACTAAGTAAACTAGGAATTCACTTGGCACGTAAAGGGGGAATAAGAAAAACAAACTGCTAGGTGCCGACGAGCACTGCATGGTGACAACAAGTGCAAGCCTGAGTCCCTCACAGCACCGGGGGGCCTGAGAATGGGTGTGACATGATGGACAACAACCACGTCCAGCAAGAGCATCTTAACAACAAGTCTCAGCTGATGTGGAAGAAAGGAACCCTGCAGTCCAGGAGAAGGGTCACTGCAGTGGTCTGGGTGCAACAAGGTGACAAACAGCTAAGAAAAATAATCACGTGCGGACCTAGTGAGGAACTGGAAAAAATGCCAATGAGGACGCCGATTACCCCACGCCTGGGACTGGGACAACGGTGAGACTGGCCCAGGTCTTCTATCACTTTGTAATTACACAAGCTAACAGGGTTCATTCTATCACATTTTCCTGGGCTTTTACCAACCACCATGACTAGATGGAATTTTCATGGAAAACTCACGATTACTGAGAACGTGTCAACGCACTGCACCAGGACTATGAAATCACAGCAGCAACACTGACACTTAAACTGGGGGATATTCAATGGCCGCATGCACCACAGATTTTCAAACACAAGATCCTTTTTGGAAGACGTACCCCTGCTCCCTCTCCTCGTTCTGGGTTTAGGATAGAGTCCATGGTTCGGGTCTCTGCTTGTCCATCTTCGACCAAAAGGCTGGGCCACAGACAAATGACTCGGAGCCAGATGCTGGCAGTCGACGGCTGTAAGATGCTTCCGCTTAAACAGTCTCACTGTTGGGTACCGATGGGAAGAAAGGGATACTCATTAGTTAACACCAATTCTACAAGCCAGGGAATTACCCTCAATTTTCTGTATCAATGTAACCGATGATTCTGTGGATCACCCAGCCAGCCCCTTGCCTCTCCCCTATAAATCCACCAACTTTTAGTCATTTTACTATTTCCTGACATTTCTGCCTTAGAACTTAAGAATCCCAAAATGACATTCTAAGATCATAAAATGACTTTTTTTTTATGTCTTTTAGAAGTCTTGATCATGAAATGCTGGTTCGAAAATAAGCTGGCACTAGTGGAGAAAGGGTGATTTGCCATCTTTTCCTTGGCTTTGTTCAGACCATTTATGTTCCTACAATAACCACGCATATTTAAGAACTACAGCTTTAAAAAATTAATAATTTGTATAACTTTTGTCAAATGATAAAGGTTTTATCTTAAATTAGTAAAAAACACACAAAAGAGTTGGCACTCATCCCCTATACACACTGGCCTCTCCAAGTCTCCGAAGCGACATGCAGTGATATGGAAACGGGCCATAAATGCTTCGCAAGGAGGACCACGTTGTCCCAGGCTCCCAGCCCCCAGTGTCCCAGTAGCAAGAACTGACTTGAAAGGGTTACAAGTAAACCCTCCACCTCACACATGGAAGAGGATCAAATGGCTTCTAGGACCTTCAGAGAAGGAATTTCATATCCTCTCTTAGCAATATATTGTAATAACAATTGTGCCCAGCATTATGTTTCAAGAGTACTAAAATGTTTAATTAGTTTACTTTTTAAAATTTTTGCAGACAGGGTCTCTATTACTTGGGCTATATACTATATACAGTACAGTGGCATCAGCATAACTCACTACAACCTCAAACTCCTGGGCTCAAGTGACCCTGCTGCTTCAGCCTCAGGAGTAACGACCAGTAGGATGCACCACTACATCCAGCTAATTTTTCTATTTTTTGTAGAGATGGGGGTCCTACAATACTGCTCAGGCTGGTCTCCAACTCATCAGGAGTACATGAGGAAATATACCCCAAATGTCTGTCTAACTATAAACCCTATGCAAAAACACCTATCCACTTCCTCTCTGTAATAAGGCTCATCTGACTAACTTGCATGAAACACTGAAGTATCTCTCAGATTATAAAGATTATCTAACAGCAAGACAGAAAGTACAAAAGCAGCCCAACTGTAGTCAGTTCTGAGCTACTGGAAATACCTTTAAGAAACAACAGCCGGGGCTCAGCACCCATAGCTCAGTGAGTAGGGAGCCAGCCACATATATCGAAGCTGGCAGGTTCTGCCCAAGCCTCCTAAACAACAACAATTGCAACCAAAAAAAAAAAAAAAAAATAGCCAGGTGTTGTGGCAGGCACCTGTAGTCCCAGCTACTCAGGAGGCTGAGGCAAGAGAATCACTTAAACCCAGGAGTTTGAGGTTCTTGTGAGCTGTGATGCCACGGCACTCTACTGAGGATGACATAGTGAGACTCTGTCTCAAAAAAAGGAAGAAAAAGAATTAACAGCTGGGCACGGTGGCTCATGCCTGTAATCCTAGCTAACACTCTGGGAGGCCAAGGCGGGGTGGACTGCCTAAGCTCACAAGTTCAAGACCAGCATGAGCTAGAGTGAGACCCCATTTCTAAAAATAGCAAGGCATGTGGCGGGCGCCTGTAGTCCCAGCTACTTGGGAGGCTAAGACAAGAGAATCACTTGAGCCCATGAGTCTGAGGTTGCTTTGAGTCATGATGCCACAGCATGCTACCAAGGGTGACAAAGTAAGACTCTGCTGTATCTCAAAAAAAAAAAAAAAAGAAAGAAAGAAAGAAAGAAAGAAAAGAAAAAATAATAATAATAAGTAACATGTCTCCACTACTTACCATGAATGGAAATCCAATAGCTCCCCCCGCCACTGTAATGATTCTGTAATGCTGGGAGCTAGTTTCTCTAAACTCTAACAGCCTTAGTCACGCAGAGGCAAAATATGGGTGTAAAGTTCTTCTATGTTAAAAAATAAATTTGAGGGGCAGCACCTATGCTCAAAGGGGTAAGGCACCCATCCCATATGCCAGAGGTGCCAGGTTTAAACCCAGCCCTGGCAAAAAAAAAAAAACAAAAAACCGCTAAATAAATAAATAAATAAATTTGAGGGCAGCACTAGTGGCTCAAAGGAGTAAGGCGCAGGCCCCATATGTCCGAGGTGGTAGGTTCAAACCCAGCCCCAGTCAAGAACTGCAAATAAATAAATATGAATTTTTTCTATATTAAAGAAAACATAAACTTAAAGTCTGATTCTTCTCTTTTAAAAAATAAGACATAAGGTCAGGCGCTGTGGCTCAACTGGTAATCCTACAATACTAGGGGGAACTGAGTACTCTGGGAAGCTGAGGTGTGAGCATTGCTTGAGCTCAGGAGTTCAAGATCAGCCTGAGTAAGAGTGAGACCCTGTCTTAATAAGAATAGAAAACTAGAGCGGCGCCTGTGGCTCAGTGAGTAGGGCGCCAGCCCAACATACTGAGGGTGGCAGGTTAAAGCCCAGCCCTGGCCAAACTGCAACAAAAATTAGCCAGGCATTGTGGCGGGTGGCTGTGGTCCCAGCTACTCGGGAGGCTGAGGCAGAAGAATCACCTAAGCCCGGGAATTGGAGGTTGCTGTGAGCTGTATGATGCCATGGCACTCTATCGAGGGCGACAAAGTGAAACTCTATCTCTACAAAAAAAAAAAATCGAAAACTAGCAAGGCATAGTGGTGGGCACCTAGCCCCAGATAGTTGGGAGGCTAAGGCGGGAGGCTAAGGCAGGAGAATCAATTGCTTGAGCCCAAGAGTTTGAGGTTGCTGTGAGCTGTAATGATGCCATAGCACTCTATGTAGGGTGACAGAGTAAGGCTCTGTCACAAGAAAAAAAAAATTTTTTTTGAAGACATTAGGTCAGGCACAATGGCTCACACCTATAATCCCAGCACACTGGGAGACCGAGGCATGAGGATCATGAAGGACCTTGAGTTCAAAATCAATTTGGGCAACATAACAAAACCCTGTCTCTAAAAAAACTTAAAAAAAAATTCGCCGGGCACAGTGGTGGGTGCCTGTTTAGTTCTAGCTACTCGGGAGGCTGAGGCAGGAGAATTGCTTGAGCTCTGGAAAATTAGGCTGCAGAGAACTCAGCAAGCTATGATCATGCCACTGCACCCCCACCTTGCATAACAGAGCAAGACTCTGTCTCTAAAATTAAATTAAAATTTCAGAAATGGAAAATAAGACATAACATTTTATTTTTCCATTTAAAACCTTTCATATTACAAATATAACTCAATTATTATTTTGCATAAATGGGGACCTCTGGTCATACCAGCAAAAGAGATAATGTGAAGCTACTATAGGTCGTGCAGAACACGCAAATCCTCAGTTAGGTGTGCACACACACTTGGCTCACACAGGAGCAAGACAGCAGACCGACAGCGGCTTCGCTCCCTCTTCACATCTCCCCAGTCACTTCAGCTGGCAAGTACAAACTCCACAATTAGAACTGGAGATGTTAGAGAGAAGTTACCAACGGAGAATGTCTCACTTAAACAGGAGGTAGACGTCTATCGCCAAACGGGCCTGGAGAAGACGACTTCCGTGAATAAAATCACCAAGGAGCAAGATCAGCATGGAGCCCTCGAGTTATGCGATCCAGGATCTCCAGCCGGCCGCAGGCTGCTTGACTGACTGGTGGTCAGGTCACAGAAGGCATCTGAAAGCAAATACAGACACACATCACAGTGAAAACACCATGCTCAGCTAACGGCTCTGATGCTCTTAAGATCCTAATCTAAGATCTGCTCCTAAATTTGGAAATCGTTACACAAAAACAGCTGTCAGGTTTGTGTGGAAGAGTAACTGACATGTACAGGATGAACCTAGAAGCTTTTTCTGCCAAGTACGTAAGAAAGGCTTTACCCCCAGCCTCCCCCAGCCAATGGACTACAGGTAGCGGTGCCCTGGTTAGAAAACCAAAGCACTGATAATGACCACCAACTTGATGTCTTAAATCACACGCCTAGGAGTCAGACGGACGATAAGTGCGCTCCAGAATAAGGAACTAGGCCACCGCAATCATAGCTACACCCTGCGCACACAGCACAGGGCCTGCCACATAGTACATGGTGTAGACTGAACACTTGTGTCCCCCAAAATTCATGATAAAATGTTCACCACCACCCCCACAAAGTAGATATTAGAAGGTGGAGATTTGGGGAGGTGATTAGGTCATGAGGGTAGAGTCCCCTGCATGGAATCAGTGCCCTTAGACAAGAGGCCCCAGAGAGCTCTGTCACCCCTCCTGCCACACCAGGACACAGAAAAGGCAGCACTTATGAGCCAAGAGGTGGGCTCCCAGCAAATGTGGATGCTGCCAGCACCTTGGTACTGGACTTCCAGCCTCCAGAACTGTGAGACAGGATGTCTGTTATCTGTAAGCTACCTAGTTAGGGTACTTTGTTACAGCAGCCCACGTACCCTAAGACAGCTCAGATTCCATGAATGCTGAATGAGTAAGTAAGGCTCACAAGGACAGCAGGAGGAAGTGTCAGGCTGTGAGGGGCAGGAGCCTGTGCCCCGGATGACCAGGACCGCACGGCAGGTCTGCTCTCACATGGAACTCGGGAAGGGCAGACCCAAAGGGGAACGTCCCCAAAGGGGCCACACCAGACAGATGAGAACATCAAAAGGTGGCTCCCGCCTATAATCCCAGCAGTCTGGGAGGGAGTGGACCACTTGAGCTCAGGAGTTTAAGAGCAGCCCGAGCAAGAATGAGACCCCTATCTCTACTGAAAATAGAAAAAGTAACCAGGCGCAGTCGTGTGCACCCACAATCCCAGCTACTCAGGAGGCTGAGGCAGGAGGATCCCTTGAGTCCCGCAGCTGAAGGTTACAGAACTATGACTGGCCACTGCACTCCAACTGGGAAACAGAGCAATACTCTGTCTCCACAAAAAAAAAAAAAATTCAGCCCCAAAGAAACTGTTTTGAAAAAGTAGGTAACATGCATAGAATAGACTTTTCTTTAAGTGTTTATTTCACAATATAGGCCTAAATCTAAAATGCTTTTTGAAAAGATTAAATGTTTGCAGAAATCTAACAAGAGCACAGGAGTGAAAGGAAAAGCTAATGGGAGTGTTGGAGCATAATGTTCTGCCTCCAGAGAGTTCTGGTATATTCCAGGGTGTTCTGGAAGAAGCTAAGGTTAAGAATGGCAGAGGGGGGCTTCAACTGGGAGAGCTGGCTTTTATATGCTAACGTAAGCTGTCTATGTTACACACCTGGACAGGGCTACCTGAGCCACGGTGTGGCTGGGAGGCAGAGCTGGAGCTTTTATTAGATTTATACATCAAAAATAACTTTTCTGGCTCGGTGCCTGTGGCTCAAGTGGCTAAGGCGCCAGCCACATACATCTAAGGTGGCGGGTTCAAATCCAACCTGGGACTGCCAAACAACAATGACGGCTGCAACCAAAAAATAGCCAGGCGTTGTGGCGGGCGCCTGTGGTCCCAGCTGCTTGGGAGGCTGAGGCAGAAGACTTGCTTGAGCCCAGGCGTTGGACGTTGCTGTGAGCTGTGATGCCACGACACTCTACCCAGGGGGATAGCTTGAGGCTCTGTTTCAAAAAAAAAAACAAAAAAACAAAAAAAACAAACTTTTCTAACTTGACCTAGAGTCAGGGAAACTGAATTTTAGGTCTCCAAGAGATAAGGGCAGTGATGCACTGAACTGGGAGCCAGGAGCCCTGTGTCTACCTCGTCAGAGTGACCTGAGTCACTAAATGTCCCCTTAAAGCCCACAGGGTTATGGGATGCACTGGGCCGCCTACACCTACCAGGTGTACTCAGCACCAAAGCCCTGATCAATCCCTGACCTATAAAAATGAGGACTGTTAATAACCTACCACCCAAATGCATAGAATGAGACAATGTTAAGTACTCATGACACCCAGGCTGAGGGTGACACCACCTATCTCTATGCCTGCATCAATACCAAGCAATGGAAATGTCAGAATTATGCGACTATCACATCAATCTGAGTATCTCCTAAAAGCAACATTAGTTTTATTTTAATAGCATTAATGTTCTTGCTAAAAGGTTTTCTCCAAAAAAACCCCCACTACACTGAAATTCTAATTGCACTTATTAATATGCCTTTTTAAAAAGAAAGCAGTTCAAACTTCACTTTATCAAAGTAAAGATACTCAAATGCAACATCTTCCACAAAACCTCCCCTCCCTGAGTCGCCCGATCCTGACTGCATTCCTCCCTCTGCACAGGGCACTTACTGTCAAAAGCTGCATGTGACTCTTCAGGGAGCAAAGTAAACACTGTGACGTGAGGGAGGAACACACACTAAGGGCAGCTTTGTCCAGACCAGGTTCCTGTGTAAGCAGAGACTGGAATCGCTAATGGGGCTGCCAAACCGTAGAGATGTGCCAACAGACCCTCCACACCAAGTCGGGCATTTGTGCCCCTCTCTGAAACACTCCTCCACAGTGACTAACACGAATGCACCACAGCACTCAGGTGTTAGGCCCGTGAGACACGAGAATGCACAAAACCATTTTGCCAAAATAGAATGCTGCCCGGGCTCAAGTGAGGCACTCACACACCACCTTTTCTGTGACAGCTGTCTTTGGGTGTGACTCCTCTATGCCCCTCACCCCAGCGGGCCCCCTCCCAGAACCCACGTCTTTCTGATAAGCCTCAGCTCTCAGCCCCTGATCAGCAGACTGGCACCTCAGGTTCCTGGGCCTCACTGACTCCAAGGTGGTCAATGCCCAGAGCGCGGCCCTTCACCAATCCCCAAGTCTCCTTACCCTGACATCAGCCTCTCCCATCCTAGCTCGCTCTGGCCCACTCCACTCCCTCGCCAGGTCCCCTGGTGGAGATCAGAGCAGTCCCTGGACTACAGCCCTCATTAAAACTCCACTATTGGGCACTAAAAGACGGGGGCATGTCTCCCAAACGCATTCCCTAGACCACTCAGCACGACACTTCACAAAAAACAGGGGTTCAGTCGCTTGGAGAAGTACATGGCTGTGATCCTTCCATTAGGCTTTCATTTCCCTGGCTTCACTTTTTTAATCTTCTTTACTGAAAAACGACCTTCAAAACAAGTCAGAGAAAGTGAACCTGAGTGCTTTTCCCAGAGCACACAACCAGCCTCCACCGCCCCATCCTGTGCGCACCTGCACACACCCCGAGACCAAGCACTAGCCCAGAGGCTGTGAGTAAAGGCAGTGCCTGCCTCTTGCAGGCCCTTCCTCTACCCCTCTCATCTTCTAGTTAAGTAGGAGCTGATTCTCAGGACATTGCTAAAGCTACGTGTGCAAAATGGACGAACCTGGAGCAGCCTCCATCCTCCAGCCCAGCCTATACACACACACACACTCCAACCACCACCACTCGGCACCTTCACAGACTGTCACAGGATTGAGAAGCAAACTTCTATTTTGAGGTCACTACATATTTGGATCTACAGGGTATCCCAAAAGTTGTCCCTGAAGTCGTCAGAAGCCGTCATACATGGGGAAAATGTGAAATTGCAGCTAAATCTGCCTCTATTTACAAAATAATTCATTACAGAATTTTACAAAAAGATGGCCAACACATGGAAAATATTTTGTAGGGCGGTGCCTGTGGCTCAAAGGAGCCAGGCGCTGGCCCCATATGCCAGAGGTGGCAGGTTCAAATCCAGCCCTGGCCAAAAACTGCAGAAAATATTTTGTAAAATTTTGTAAATAACGTACAGTTAGCTACAATTTCCCATTTTCCCTATGTGTGGTAACAGCGAGGACACCCTGTATTTGTTACTGTAGCACAGCCTACCCTAACCATTCCAAGGTCACTTGAAATTGACCCAAACTATTCCCTTTATTCCCCTTTGCTCATCAGAATTGTTGTTTGGTTTTTTTTTTTTGGCCAGGGCCAGGTTTGCACCCGCCACCTCCAGTACACGGGGGCCAGCACCCTACTCCTTTGAGCCACAAGCACCACCTACTCATCAAAATTCATATCAAAAAAATCCTCTAGAACTCATAGGTGGGACCTAAATGGACAGAATGAAGACAGAGAGTATCTAGAAATCCTGGAAGATCACTAAATATCTGCTTTAAAAAAAAAACTCAAGTTGCCTCTCCAATCCAAAGTACCTGACTAGAGCACACTCACAACAGCTCCTGGATGGAGGGCCACACCAAGCAGCTCTGCTGGTGGATAATTTACAGTCACCCAACCTCCTCATGGGCCCTGGTCACTCTCCCCACCAGGGAAAGGCTTCTGCCTTCTCTGGGGGTGGGCTCTGCAAGATCAGCAGTGGACTCTTGCCTCTGGTATCTCCTGTGGAGGGGACAGAGTGCACGGCAGTGGTGCCCACGTTATAAAGCTTCAGCTGCTCCACCGGCCTGACCGCAGCCTGTGACCTTGACAGCCCACCCTCCAGTTAACTGTGTCCCAGCAATGCAGAAAGGACGCTCTCAAGCCAGGAAGCACCTCCCACCAGTCAAACCGCCCCGTACAGGGAGATACTTGCAACAGTTCCTTGTAGGAGTTTGTATTTAGTGTGTGTCTCATACAAATTGTTCAATATACTTTTATTTACTTTTTTTTTTTGGAGATAGTCTCATTTTGTCACCCTTGGTAGAGTGCTGTAGGATCACAGCTCACAGCAACCTCTAACTCTTGGGCTCAAGTGATCTTCTTGCCTCATCCTCCCAAAGAGCTGGGACTACAGGTGTCCACCACAACATCCGGCTATTTTTCAAGACAAGGTCTCACTCTGGCTCAGGCTGGTCTCAGACTAGTGAGCTCAGGCGATCCACTGGCCTTGACCTCCCAAAAGCTAGAATTACAGGCGTGAGCCACTGTGCCTGGCCATTTTATCTTGTTTTATAACATCACATTAATAACAACTACTTGTACGAGTAACACATCTTCTGTCCTGCACTAAAAGCCCTATGAACTACTTGTACTCTGAAGGAGGACAAGGGCTTACGCCCAGCAATCCTGCTTCCTGAGTAACTCCTAAGCAGGTACCTGCAGCAGCCCTCCTGAAGGGCAGGTCATCTCCCTCGCTTTGAAGCTCTATGCTGATAGCTCCATCCCATAGCTTCTGTAGTTCTTTCTTACATTCTCATGTGATCTTCACAGCAATCCTGCCACCATCAAACTGGGCCTCAGAGAAGACTCACCTGAAGTCACAACAGAGCTCACATGCGATAGTGCTGACACCAGAACTTAGTCTTCTGATTCCCCAAGTCCAGTGAACTTCCTACTGTAACATCCTTTCCTCTATGGCTGGAATTATTTAAAACAGCTTCTAAAAAAGCTCAAGTTTAATTTCTTTATCCCTTTTTCTTTTTTTCCTTTTTTTTTTTTTTGTAGAGACAGAGTGTCACTTTATCACCCTTGGTAGAGTGCTGTGATGTCACACAGCTCATAGCAACCTCCAACTCCTGGGCTTAGGCGATTCTCTTGCCTCAGTCTCCCAAGTAGCTGGAACTACAGGTGCCCACCACAATGCCCAGCTATTTCTTTGTTGCAGTTTGGCCGGGGCTGGGTTTGAACCCAACACCCTTGGTATATGGGGCCGGCTCCCTACACACTGAGCCACAGGTACCACCCTTTATCCCTTTTTCTTATTCAGTGTGAAATACGAAAACAAAAGAAATTTAATAACAATAATAATAGAAAACATTAGAAAAATATCACTAAGTTATATAGACTAAAAATGAAAAAACTGCAAAATATTTTGCCCCCCTCCCGGCCAGGCACAGTGGCTCACGCCTGTAATCCTAGCACTATGGGAGGCCTAAATGGGTAGACTGCTTCAGCTCAGGAGTTCAAGTTGAGCCTGAGCCAGAGCCAGACCCAGTTTCTAAAAATAGCTAGGCATTGTGGCAGGCGCCTATAGACCCAGCTACTCAGGAGGCTAAGGCAAGAGAATTGCTTGAGCCCAAGAGTGTGAGGCTGCTGTGAGCTATGACACCACAGCTATGACAACCACAAGTTGACACTCTGTCTCAAAAAAATAAATAAATAAATAAATATATATATATATTTTTGCCCTCATTAGCTCTAAGAAACAAACACAGCAAGAAAGCATACTACAGCTCTAGCTCATCCTGGGTATGTATGTACTCTCCACTAACAGCCAGGCCCCTCCCAGCTGCCATATCCTGCTTCTCTGCAAACCCAAAAGGCCCAAGTCGGCCGTGTCATTCTCCCCCGGGTCCTCAGACACCCTGAAATACCATCTATTCCCTTGGAGACAGCACTTATTTATGAGAGCAAGCAAGGATGAATAGGGCTTCTCATACTACAGTTCTCACAGGAAAAAAGAAAAACAATACTATTTACTATCTGGAATATATTTTGTATATTTAAAAGACTTTTTAATACAGTCAATTCATTCCATAGTCATTTTTAAGTATCCACTGTGTCCCAGATTCACAGTAACTCCATGAGGGCTTTCTCTTGTGCTATTCTTGGTGCTAAATGCTATTTTAGACACTGACAGTACAAAAATGAATTAGCCCACCCGAAAGGCAGCCACCAAAACAAAACAAATTACTAAACATAAGGCAATATAAATACTGCAGAAATGCATGTGCCAAGTGCCATGGTAGTCAAGACAAGCAGACAGACTTAGGAAAGTTGAAAGAGGCTTTTTATGAACCTTGGAAGATTAATGGGATCCGGTAAGGCAGAAGAAATGATAAAAACACAGAGGCCTGACAACACACTGGTGTGGCAGAAAGTTGGGTTTCCTTAGAAGAGGTTCACTGACAGGGAAATGACAGGAGGCAAGGCTGGAGAAGGAACCCGGAACCACAGACTACAAAGATCCTTAAACAAAACTGGGTGTTTCTGAATCCCAGTCAAGAAAAGAAAAAAAAACTGGACTTGACTGTGCAGACAGTTCTGAGAATTACCCAGTTTTTAAGCATCATCATTATATAATCAAATTTGCACTAAAACAGTGACTCTGGAGGTATGTTGGAGGATAAACAGACACGGAATTGTCGGGAAAACAAATCAAAAAGCCTCCACCTAGGAGAGAGCTGGCCAAGACCTGAGAGCAGCAGAGATTGGGCAGGGAAGGCAGGTGGATACCAAGAAGGGGTCTGTTTTTTTTTTTTTAAGACAAGAGTCTCATTATGTCGCCCTTGGTAGAGTGCTGTGGCGTCACAGCTCACAGCAACCTCAAACTCTTGAGTTTAAACGATTCTCTTGCCTCAGTCTCCCAAGGCAAGAGACTACAGATGCCTGCCACAATGCCCGGCTATTATTTTAATTGTAGTTGTCGTTGTTTAGCAGGCCTGGGCTGGGCTCCCACCGGCAGCCCCAGTGTATGTGGCTGGCACCGTAACCACTGAACGACAGGCGCTGAGTCCCAAGAAGGGTTTTTGAAAGGAGTGGAGAAGAAAGAAGAGAAAGAGTGGGGCAAGGATAACTGACATTTCTGTAGAACACTCAGAGAGATGCTGACGTCATTACCCATGGTAAGGAGTAAAGGAGAAAATGGTTTTGTTTTAATCACTTTTTCCTGGAGTGACAGGGCGGCCTAAAGTTTCAGTTTGGAAATTAATTTTTCTTTTTTGAGCCAGTCTCACTATGTTGCCCTCAGTAGAGTGTCGTGGTATCACAGCTCACAGCAACCTCAAACTCTTGGGTTTAAGTGATTCTCTAGCCTCAGTCTCCCAAGTAGGTGGGACTACAGCTGCCTACCACAATGCCTGGCTATTTTTTTGTTGTAGTTGTCATTGTTCAGCAGACCGGGTTTGAACCTGCCATCCCCTTATGTGGCCAGTGCTCTAATCACTGAGCTATGGCACCGAGCCTGGAAATTAATTTTTTGTTTTGATTTTCAGTTACCTGTAAAACACCAACTTAAGCTCCAGGAGGTACTCTGAAATATGAGACTGTTCTTCAAAAGGTACTGGGATATCAGCTGAAGAGATGAGATTTGAGATGATTAGGTGATAAATTTCTGGGAGGAGGTAATTTCATAGCCAGAAGAGCAAAGACAGAATCCAAATTCAGTTTCCAGATAAAATCAGCCTAGGAAGGATAGAGGGATGTGATAAACAAAAGATGTCAATGGATCTGAAATTAGAATTCTCAGACCAGTAGTTTCACATCCACACTCACAATTCACAAAACATGCCAAATGATCAATGTACAGATGAGTGTGACCAAACCCCCCCATAACCATAAGATAATGAGAAAAAGGAAACACAGCCAGGTAGCAAATCACAATGTCAGTGACAACTACATGGGAAGCTCACAAAAGGCCACATCACAGACTCCAACAAAACTCTGCACAAAACAAACAGGCAACCAGACCAGGAAAACACGAGACCCCAGACACAGCTCTACCTGTCAGCTTACTGTGTAGCTCCCACTCCTCTCCACTGTGCTTTTCCTCCAGAAAAACCACAGGGCTGGGGAACAGATCCATACACATTACCTAGTTATCCAAAGTAAGTACTTAAAGAAGACAAAAGAAGTAGAATTGGATTTAGAACATCAATTAAGGCCTAGCGCAGTGGCTCACGCCTATAATCACTCTGGGAGGCTGAGGCAGATGGGACTCCCTGAGCTCACAAGTTCCAGACCAGCCTGAGCAAGAGCAAGAACCCCATCTCTAAAAGTAGCCGAGCATTGTGATAGGAGCCTGTAGTCCCAGCTACCTGGGAGGCTGAAAGCAAGAGGATCACTTGAGCTCAAGAGTTTGAGGTTGCTGTGAGCTGTGACATTACAGCACTCTACTGAGGGTAACAAAGTGAGACTCCGTCTCAAAAAAAAAAAGAACATCAATTAAGCAACCAATTACCCTGGATTCAAAAATTCCATCCTGTTGTAATCCAGACATCCCAATTATGTTTAAGTAAAGAGGGAAACTACAGATGTAACGCAAAAGAAGCTGTCATTTGGAAGCAGGTTGGGGAGAGTATGAAGCTACCAGATGCCCAACTTCCAGTTTATACTCATTTAAGCACTGTTCCCCATGCTCTGAACTTTTGTCCATTTCAAAGCACTTTTATGCTGTCCTTTTTTTTTTTTGGAATGACAAGAGACAATGGCAAACAATGCTAGAAAAGCTGATATGTGGACCTAGTGCTGTTTCCAGTGACAATCCTTACAAGTTACCTTAATCGAACTGAATCTGCTCACTAGTAAAGTGGGCTACTTTTTATGGGCTCATACCACGGGTCCTTTCTTATTCTACCTCAGCTTCTGCACAGTGTCAGGCACTAGCAGATAGCCAATAGATGCTACCATCCTTCCCTGCAGAAGACTTTACTAACTATACTTCCACGGGAAAATCACTAACTTCATTAGGCCTCAATGTCCCCACCCGTAAAAGCAGAATGCTGCCTTACAGGGTGTGTGGATTAAAGTGCTCTGTAAACCCCAGAGTACGATATAAAATGTAAAGGGCAATTGCTTTTAGGCCTGGCAAACAATAGCGACTCCCACTTCACCCTTGAAGGATAAGAAAACACCAAGAGTTTAAGTGACTAGCATCTAGCAAGGTCGGGTAAGGAGCCCCACATCTACCCTAACTGCTTCCCCCGCCCTTACAACTTGCTGGGATCTCAAGTACCCTCCAAAAGTTCCAGGCCTTCCCACACTTCCTTGGTCTACTAATGTTCAGGTAAGACGGAGGAAGGCTGCAAAAGAAAGGGGGTGCAAAGGGCAGCATAAAATGACTCGCCCAAGGTCAAACACGAGAGCGGGCAGAAAAGCCCGGCTCAGCAGCCGCGGAGGCCGCGTCCCCCGTGCAGCTAGTCCCCCCCTCCTGCAGCCCCCGAGATAAGACCAGCGGCCCGTCCTGGGTCTTGGGGAGCAGCGCGGGGCAGCGCCCGGAACTCGGCGGACACCAGCCTGACCGCACCCTCCGCCTGCCCACGACTGGCCGGGTTCCCCGCGTCACGCTCGGCCCCGCGCCCTGCGGCCCACCCCCCCGCTGGGACCCCAGTGCAGGACCCCGGAAGGCTGAGTTTCCCACGCGGCGGCGCCCCGCCCGCGCTCCCTGCCACGTCTGCGGCCTCACGCACTACTGCGCTCCGCACCCGGGTCCCCGCCGCCACCAGCGTCGCTGGGCCAGCGCCGCCGCGGGCCACCCAGCCCAGCGTCCCCCAGCAGCTAGCTCCGCCTTGCCCCGACCGCGAGCCCGACACGGCTGCCGACTTCCTTCGCGAGCTCCGCCCCACAGTAAGCCCGGGAAGCGCCCGCAGCAGGAACGGATGGACGGACGGATGCCACAGCCAATCGGGACGCAGAATTGGAGGGGCGTGCTGACAGACGGCCCCTGCCACCAATTGGAGCGCGCTATCGGAGGAGGCGCGGCCTCTTCCACCGAGCCACGCCCCAACCGCGTTTCCGCTGGGCTGAGGCGGCTAGGGAAAACTTTCCCAGAGTTCCTCCGAGCTCCCCCGGTGTCCGCCGGGCTACCGAGGCCAAAGGGCGGGGAGGGGCGGCGACCGACCCTGTGAGAAGGGGACTGCGTGAGGAAGTCGTACCTCTGGCGGTCTCGGCCAGGGAAGGGGAGCGGGCACAGGGCGGTCGCGGACCGGCTGTCCCTTCCCCAGTGGGACACAGGGCGCGAGTTGGGCGATGTCGAGCAGCCATCCCACCCTGTTGTTTACAGCCCTAGACCACACCCGTACGGGGGTAGCTCCCGAAATTAGACACGCCTTCTCACTTGGAGATGTCAGCCTAGACTGCCCGGCCACTCCGGAACGTGCCCATGCAGCGCCCTGATCCCCGACTGCCCAGTCCCCAAGTAGAAACCGGACCTGCCCTCGGCTTTTCCCAGCCTGAACTCCGTGTCCCTTCTACCTGCGAGCGGCACTGCCGGCCCGCCGTGGGGATGGCCCCGCCAGAGGACCCGCGGCGGCTCTGCAAGCTGGTGCAGGAGGGCCGACTGTGCGCCCTGCAGGACGAGCTGCGGGCGGCCGGGGGCTGCCCGGAGATGGTCGGGGACACCCTCCTGCACTGCGCCGCCCGCCACGGGCGCAGGGACATCCTGGCCTATCTGACCGAGGCCTGGGGCATGGACATCGAGGCCACCAACCGAGACTATAAGCGGCCTCTACACGAGGCTGCCTCCATGGGCCATCGGGACTGCGTGCTATACCTGCTAGGCCGAGGGGCGGCTGTGGACTGCCTGAAGAAGGCCGACTGGTAGGTTGTGGGATCCAGCAAGACACCTCACCTCCCCATTACATGCAGGTTCGTGGGCATTTCCGTGTACTGTGCACGTCCCCTTTGACACCATGGATTTTCTCTGCTCCTGGTTCTCCCCCTGCAAGGCCTGCTCCATGGCAGGTGGTCCTACCTCCACCTTCCCCTGAGGTGTGGATGACCTGCACTTTACTTTGTTTCTGCCCTTGTGGGTTAACAGGTGCAGGCAGTCACTTCCCTTTTTAAGGCAGGAACCAGGCGACCCTAGCTCAGTCGGCAGGGCGACAGCTACATACACCTAGGGTGGTGGGTTCCAACCTGCCTGGGCCTGCCAAGCAACAGTGACAACTGCAGTCAAAAAGTAGCCGGGCATTGTGGCCAGCACCTGTATTCCCAGCTACTTGGGAGGCTGAGGCAAGAGAAGCGCTTAAGCCCAAGGGTTTGAGGTTGCTGTGAGCTGT